GAACTTGGCCACCGGTGCGAAAGTTTCTTCATAGTCAACTCCGAATTTCTGTGAGAATCCTTTGGCCACAAGTCTTGCCTTGAAACGTTCAGCTTCGCCATCTTGATTCTCCTTTACACGAAAAACCCATCGGCACCCGATGGCCTTGCGACCTTTCGGAAGAGGCACGATTTCCCACGTGTCGTTTCTCTGAAGCGAATCGAACTCCGAGTCACACGCTTCTTTCCACTTGCCGGAGTCGCTTGATTCCATCGCCGACTTGAATGTAGTCGGCGTTTCCCCCACTGAATCAACGATGTAGGCTGCTTCAAAATCCATTGCAGCCGCTGACACATGCTCAAGCGACGGACCTCTGTATGTTCTTCGCTTGGGACTTGGAATGACGGTAGCTTTCTCAAGTGATTGAGTGCGCGTGTGTCTCTTGATGTTGCTCTTCGAAGACCTGGTGTCTTCGTTGTCATCGTCGCTCGAGTCCATGTCGTCGTCAGTTTTACCTTCTTCTTTTTTCTTCGTCCTCATCATGATCATCAAACTCAACGACACTTGACTCATCGTTGTAGTTGCGCGGACCTTCATCAAACTTGTCTTCCATGAATGTGGCATCGCGACTGATCTTGATCGCTCCTGTTGACACTTCCTCAAATCGATATGACTTCTGGTGTTCGGCGTATCCCAGGAAACGACAGAGTGATGACTTGGAGTCGAACTTCGCGCGTTTGTCTTGAGGCACTTGAACATACGCGTGGCATCCAAACACTTTAAGGTTGGCCAGAATCGGTTTCTTCATCGTCCACACTTGATATGGAGACTTGTCTTGGTGAATGGCACGTGTTGGACAGCGGTTTCGAAGAAACATCGCCGTCATCACTGCTTCACCCCAGTAGCTCTTTCCCAGTCCAGCGTGTTCCATCATGCAACGCGCACACTCGACCAGCGTGCGATTCATTCTCTCAGCTACTCCGTTTAGCTGAGGAGTATATGGGGGTGTGAACCTTTGTTGTATTCCCCGTTCCGCGCAGAATCGTGCCAGCTTGTCGGACTTGTATTCACCCCCATTGTCGCTTTGAAGGTACTTCACGCGCTTTCCGGTTTGCGTTTCGGCCATCGCAGCGTATTCCATGAACTTCGCCGCAACTTCAGATTTGCTCTTGAGCAGATAGACGACACAGTATCTTGACTTGTCATCAATGAATGTCACGAAGTACCGTTTTCCACTGAAAGTTGCCATCGACATCGGTCCGCATACGTCGCTGTGAATCACTTCGAGGAGTTTGGAGGTGCGAGCTGTAGTGTTTGATTGGAAGCGCACTCGAGTCTGTTTTCCCAGAGCACAACCTTCACACACGTCCCACTTCTTCACCGAAGATATGTCGATGCCAATTCCAATGTTCTTCGTCACGATGCAATTGAGTCCATCGTGACCTATGTGGCCAAGCCGAAGGTGCCAGAGGTACGACTTGGTGCCCCCTTGACATCCCGACGACTTGGCTGCATTTGCTTGTTCCGGCGCCACTGGAGTCATTTGCAGCTTGAACAGTCCTTTACCTTCACGGGCACCAATTTTCCACTTGGTCCCTTTCGCTTCTCCATAGCACCCATCCTTCGTGAACGTCACTGGGCCGACATCCTTGGTGAAGCGGCCGACCGAGAACAGGTTTCTGGATAACTTTGGGATGTGCCACACGTTTGTGAGCACACCTTTCTTCATCCCTTGGGGTGTCTTCATCGACATGACAATGTCCCCACTGCCGATTGCTTGGACGATTCCATCATCCGCGAGATGGACATCCACAGCGTCAAACCCCTTGTAGTTCCGCATGAACTTCTTGGAGCACGTCATGTGCTGCGTCGCCCCGGAGTCGACCAGCCAGATGTCGCTCGATTTCGCAGATGTCGTTTCACCGATCGAAAAGAGGTAGTCGCCCGAGTCTTCTTCTTGAGCGACGTTTGCACGTTGTGATCGATAGCGGTCGCCGCTGTCTTGAGCACGCTGTGGCCGGTGTCTCTCCGTGTTTTCTTGGATGCGCGAGGGGCACTCCGCCATCCAGTGACCAATCTTTCCGCAATTGTGGCACGGCCAGGACTTCTTCACTGGTCGCCCTTTGCGCTGATTGTCCCTTGTGATGAACGCTTGACCTTGCGAAGCTTCATCACCTTTACTTCCTTGCTCCTTCCGCTTCATTTCTTCATGAAGCAGTCGAGACGTCACGAGCTCCCAGCTAAGAGTGTCTGAGCGCGACTCCAAAGCTGTGATCAAGAATTGATACGAGTCACTCAGGCTGCCGAGGAGTGTGATCACCAGATCGTCCTCGCAGACTGGAGCCCCCACCGCTTCTAGCTGTTCCGCCAGCGTCTTGAGCTTGTTGATGTGTTCGAGCACATCGTCGCCTTCTTCCATCATTGTCGTGAAGAAGCGACGGCGCAAGAACAGCTTGTTGGCAAGACTCTTCTTCTCGAAGTGGTCTTCCAACCTTGACCATGCGTCGCATGCACCACTTGCCGACCGGACCAACGGTAGCTGGGAATCTTCCATGGCTAGACAGATCACTGCCATCGCCTTTCTTGACTTCCTCTTGTACGTCGCTTGGTCCAACTGAGTCTCGCACTGTTCCGCCTTGATCTCACCGCTGACGACCTCCCATAGGTCCCGTTCCTCCAGCACCATCTGCATCTTGAACTTCCAGGCGTGGAAGTTAGTTCCATCGAACTTGGAGATGCGGAGGGAGGAGGCGTCCATGGCAGCTAAGCTTGAATTGTTGGCGGTTTCAGAGTCTGACGAACTTGGGCTCATAACCTGATGAACTTTAGACTTCTTGGTCCGAGTGCAAAACGCAAAGTGAATATATATTTATAATAGGTACTTAGTTCGCAACTTTGAATACTACCTCTAAGCCTATTATTCGCAGTGACGTCATCCAGTGACGTCACCCACTGACTCACCGTCACTGACGTCATCCAATGACGTCATTTCCTGACTTCGCCCTTACTGGTACATACCGGTACCCACCGGTATAGCGAAGCTTGGTCTTCCACTTGCTTCAACACTTGACGCAGCTTGACGAGGTGTCTTCTTCACAGCCGCTGTCTTTTCAACACTCCCTCTCGACTCGTTAGCTGCGGCACCTTGGATCCCAAGTCGATCGCGAATGTTTTCAAATTGTACAGCGGCGATCGGCTTGGTCATCATGTCTGCCAGCATATCTTGAGTCGGGCAATACTCCAAAACGACTTCACCTGATTCCACCTTCTCACGCACAAAATGGTAGCGTATGTCGATGTGTTTTGTTCTCTTATGGAACTCCGGGTTCTTGGCGAGAGCGATTGATCCTTGGTTGTCTTCATACATCTTGATCGCTTCGTCGCTTGTCATCTCACCAAGTTCCCCCAAAAGCACCTTGAGCCATACTGCTTCTTTGGTTGCTTCGGAAAGCGCCATGTATTCTGCTTCTGTTGAAGATAGCGCGACCGTCCGTTGTTTCTGGCTTTTCCAGCTGATGCATCCTCCGCTCATCATGAACACATAGCCGCTTGTACTTCGTCTTGACTCAATGTCGCCGGCCCAGTCTGCGTCGGTGTACCCGCAGATACGGCTTCCTTCTTCACGTGTAAACTCAAGACCATGATTGGGCGTTGCTTGCAGGTATCTCAGCACACGCTTCAAAGCTTGCCAGTGAGTCGGGCATGGGTCGGACGAGAACTGGGATAATGATCCCACTGCAGCAGCTAGATCCGGACGTGTGGCGACCATGAGATACATGATGCCTCCGACAGCACTTCGATATGGCACGTTGCACATGGTGTCTTCGTGCTTGCATTCTTGTTCACACATGTTCTTGGTTAGCTTCAGGCCGGGATCTTGAGGCGTCTTCACTGGCTTGCTGTTATCCATTCCGAACTTGGTTAACACGGACTTGAGAAACTTGGTTTGTTGTACAGTCACCATTCCCGTCTTACGGTCGTTCTTGATCTCCATGCCGAGAAAGTAATCGAGCTCACCGAGATCCGTCATTTCGAAGCGTTTGCTCAGCGCCATCTTGGTCGACTTGAGGAGTTCGTTGTTGCTGCTGGCCAGGATGAGATCATCGACGTAGAGCACCACGAGAATCATGTCTTGGTCGTCTCGCTTGATGTAGATGCAGTGGTCCGATTCGCACTTCTTGAATCCCATCTTGATCATGAACCCATCGATTGTTTGGTTCCACATGCGAGGCGATTGCTTCAAGCCGTAGAGTGATCTCTTTAGCTTGCACACATAGTCCGGCTGTGTTGCATCCAGGTATCCGTCCGGCTGGTCCATGTAGATGTCTTCGTTGAGGGAGCCGTTAAGAAACGCTGTCTTGACGTCCATCTTGATGAACTTTAGACTTCTTGGTCCGAGTGCAAAACGCAAAGTAAATATATATTTATAATAGGTACTTAGTTCGCAACTTTGAATACTACCTCTAAGCCTATTATTCGCAGTGACGTCATCCAGTGACGTCACCCACTGACGTCACCCACTGACGTCATGCAATGACGTCATCCAGTGACGTCATTTCCTGACTTCGCCCTTACTGGTACATACCGGTACCCACCGGTATAGCGAAGCTTGGTCTTCCACTTGCTTCAACACTTGACGCAGCTTGACGAGGTGTCTTCTTCACAGCTGCTGTCTTTTCAACACTCCCTCTCGACTCGTTAGCTGCGGCACCTTGGATCCCAAGTCGATCGCGAATGTTTTCAAATTGTACAGCGGCGATCGGCTTGGTCATCATGTCTGCCAGCATATCTTGAGTCGGGCAATACTCCAAAACGACTTCACCTGATTCCACCTTCTCACGCACAAAATGGTAGCGTATGTCGATGTGTTTTGTTCTCTTATGGAACTCCGGGTTCTTGGCGAGAGCGATTGATCCTTGGTTGTCTTCATACATCTTGATCGCTTCGTCGCTTGTCATCTCACCAAGTTCCCCCAAAAGCACCTTGAGCCATACTGCTTCTTTGGTTGCTTCGGAAAGCGCCATGTATTCTGCTTCTGTTGAAGATAGCGCGACCGTCCGTTGTTTCTGGCTTTTCCAGCTGATGCATCCTCCGCTCATCATGAACACATAGCCGCTTGTACTTCGTCTTGACTCAATGTCGCCGGCCCAGTCTGCGTCGGTGTACCCGCAGATACGGCTTCCTTCTTGACGTGTAAACTCAAGACCATGGTTGGGCGTTGCTTGCAGGTATCTCAGCACACGCTTCAAAGCTTGCCAGTGAGTCGGGCATGGGTCGGACGAGAACTGGGATAATGATCCCACTGCAGCAGCTAGATCCGGACGTGTGGCGACCATGAGATACATGATGCCTCCGACAGCACTTCGATATGGCACGTTGCACATGGTGTCTTCGTGCTTGCATTCTTGTTCACACATGTTCTTGGTTAGCTTCAGGCCGGGATCTTGAGGCGTCTTCACTGGCTTGCTGTTATCCATTCCGAACTTGGTTAACACGGACTTGAGAAACTTGGTTTGTTGCACAGTCACCATTCCCGTCTTACGGTCGTTCTTGATCTCCATGCCGAGAAAGTAATCGAGCTCACCGAGATCCGTCATTTCGAAGCGTTTGCTCAGCGCCATCTTGGTCGACTTGAGGAGTTCGTTGTTGCTGCTGGCCAGGATGAGATCATCGACGTAGAGCACCACGAGAATCATGTCTTGGTCGTCTCGCTTGATGTAGATGCAGTGGTCCGATTCGCACTTCTTGAATCCCATCTTGATCATGAACCCATCGATTGTTTGGTTCCACATGCGAGGCGATTGCTTCAAGCCGTAGAGTGATCTCTTTAGCTTGCACACATAGTCCGGCTGTGTTGCATCCAGGTATCCGTCCGGCTGGTCCATGTAGATGTCTTCGTTGAGGGAGCCGTTAAGAAACGCTGTCTTGACGTCCATCTGATGTAGCATTAGGCCGTACTTAGCCGCCATACTGAGCACCACACGAATCGATGTGAACTTGGCCACCGGTGCGAAAGTTTCTTCATAGTCAACTCCGAATTTCTGTGAGAATCCTTTGGCCACAAGTCTTGCCTTGAAACGTTCAACTTCGCCATCTTGATTCTCCTTTACACGAAAAACCCATCGGCACCCGATGGCCTTGCGACCTTTCGGAAGAGGCACGATTTCCCACGTGTCGTTTCTCTGAAGCGAATCGAACTCCGAGTCACACGCTTCTTTCCACTTGCCGGAGTCGCTTGATTCCATCGCCGACTTGAATGTAGTCGGCGTTTCCCCACTGAATCAACGATGTAGGCTGCTTCAAAATCCATTGCAGCCGCTGACACATGCTCAAGCGACGGACCTCTGTATGTTCTTCGCTTGGGACTTGGAATGACGGTAGCTTTCTCAAGTGATTGAGTGCGCGTATGTCTCTTGATGTTGCTCTTCGAAGACCTGGTGTCTTCGTTGTCATCGTCGCTCGAGTCCATGTCGTCGTCAGTTTTACCTTCTTCTTTTTCTTCGTCCTCATCATGATCATCAAACTCAACGACACTTGACTCATCGTTGTAGTTGCGCGGACCTTCATCAAACTTGTCTTCCATGAATGTGGCATCGCGACTGATCTTGATCGCTCCTGTTGACACTTCCTCAAATCGATATGACTTCTGGTGTTCGGCGTATCCCAGGAAACGACAGAGTGATGACTTGGAGTCGAACTTCGCGCGTTTGTCTTGAGGCACTTGAACATACGCGTGGCATCCAAACACTTTAAGGTTGGCCAGAATCGGTTTCTTCATCGTCCACACTTGATATGGAGACTTGTCTTGGTGAATGGCACGTGTTGGACAGCGGTTTCGAAGAAACATCGCCGTCATCACTGCTTCACCCCAGTAGCTCTTTCCCAGTCCAGCGTGTTCCATCATGCAACGCGCACACTCGACCAGCGTGCGATTCATTCTCTCAGCTACTCCGTTTAGCTGAGGAGTATATGGGGGTGTGAACCTTTGTTGTATTCCCCGTTCCGCGCAGAATCGTGCCAGCTTGTCGGACTTGTATTCACCCCCATTGTCGCTTTGAAGGTACTTCACGCGCTTTCCGGTTTGCGTTTCGGCCATCGCAGCGTATTCCATGAACTTCGCCGCAACTTCAGATTTGCTCTTGAGCAGATAGACGACACAGTATCTTGACTTGTCATCAATGAATGTCACGAAGTACCGTTTTCCACTGAAAGTTGCCATCGACATCGGTCCGCATACGTCGCTGTGAATCACTTCGAGGAGTTTGGAGGTGCGAGCTGTAGTGTTTGATTGGAAGCGCACTCGAGTCTGTTTTTCCCAGAGCACAACCTTCACACACGTCCCACTTCTTCACCGAAGATATGTCGATGCCAATTCCAATGTTCTTCGTCACGATGCAATTGAGTTCATCGTGACCTATGTGGCCAAGCCGAAGGTGCCAGAGGTACGACTTGGTGCCCCCTTGACATCCCGACGACTTGGCTGCATTTGCTTGTTCCGGCGCCACTGGATTCATTTGCAGCTTGAACAGTCCTTTACCTTCACGGGCACCAATTTTCCACTTGGTCCCTTTCGCTTCTCCATAGCACCCATCCTTCGTGAACGTCACTGGGCCGACATCCTTGGTGAAGCGGCCGACCGAGAACAGGTTTCTGGATAACTTTGGGATGTGCCACACGTTTGTGAGCACACCTTTCTTCATCCCTTGGGGTGTCTTCATCGACATGACAATGTCCCCACTGCCGATTGCTTGGACGATTCCATCATCCGCGAGATGGACATCCACAGCGTCAAACCCCTTGTAGTTCCGCATGAACTTCTTGGAGCACGTCATGTGCTGCGTCGCCCCGGAGTCGACCAGCCAGATGTCGCTCGATTTCGCAGATGTCGTTTCACCGATCGAAAAGAGGTAGTCGCCCGAGTCTTCTTCTTGAGCGACGTTTGCACGTTGTGATCGATAGCGGTCGCCGCTGTCTTGAGCACGCTGTGGCCGGTGTCTCTCCGTGTTTTCTTGGATGCGCGAGGGGCACTCCGCCATCCAGTGACCAATCTTTCCGCAATTGTGGCACGGCCAGGACTTCTTCACTGGTCGCCCTTTGCGCTGATTGTCCCTTGTGATGAACGCTTGACCTTGCGAAGCTTCATCACCTTTACTTCCTTGCTCCTTCCGCTTCATTTCTTCATGAAGCAGTCGAGACGTCACGAGCTCCCAGCTAAGAGTGTCTGAGCGCGACTCCAAAGCTGTGATCAAGAATTGATACGAGTCACTCAGGCTGCCGAGGAGTGTGATCACCAGATCGTCCTCGCAGACTGGAGCCCCCACCGCTTCTAGCTGTTCCGCCAGCGTCTTGAGCTTGTTGATGTGTTCGAGCACATCGTCGCCTTCTTCCATCATTGTCGTGAAGAAGCGACGGCGCAAGAACAGCTTGTTGGCAAGACTCTTCTTCTCGAAGTGGTCTTCCAACCTTGACCATGCGTCGCATGCACCACTTGCCGACCGGACCAACGGTAGCTGGGAATCTTCCATGGCTAGACAGATCACTGCCATCGCCTTTCTTGACTTCCTCTTGTACGTCGCTTGGTCCAACTGAGTCTCGCACTGTTCCGCCTTGATCTCACCGCTGACGACCTCCCATAGGTCCCGTTCCTCCAGCACCATCTGCATCTTGAACTTCCAGGCGTGGAAGTTAGTTCCATCGAACTTGGAGATGCGGAGGGAGGAGGCGTCCATGGCAGCTAAGCTTGAATTGTTGGCGGTTTCAGAGTCTGACGAACTTGGGCTCATAACCTGATGAACTTTAGACTTCTTGGTCCGAGTGCAAAACGCAAAGTAAATATATATTTATAATAGGTACTTAGTTCGCAACTTTGAATACTACCTCTAAGCCTATTATTCGCAGTGACGTCATCCAGTGACGTCACCCACTGACGTCACCCACTGACGTCATGCAATGACGTCATCCAGTGACGTCATTTCCTGACTTCGCCCTTACTGGTACATACCGGTACCCACCGGTATAGCGAAGCTTGGTCTTCCACTTGCTTCAACACTTGACGCAGCTTGACGAGGTGTCTTCTTCACAGCTGCTGTCTTTTCAACACATCTGATGTAGCATTAGGCCGTACTTAGCCGCCATACTGAGCACCACACGAATCGATGTGAACTTGGCCACCGGTGCGAAAGTTTCTTCATAGTCAACTCCGAATTTCTGTGAGAATCCTTTGGCCACAAGTCTTGCCTTGAAACGTTCAACTTCGCCATCTTGATTCTCCTTTACACGAAAAACCCATCGGCACCCGATGGCCTTGCGACCTTTCGGAAGAGGCACGATTTCCCACGTGTCGTTTCTCTGAAGCGAATCGAACTCCGAGTCACACGCTTCTTTCCACTTGCCGGAGTCGCTTGATTCCATCGCCGACTTGAATGTAGTCGGCGTTTCCCCCACTGAATCAACGATGTAGGCTGCTTCAAAATCCATTGCAGCCGCTGACACATGCTCAAGCGACGGACCTCTGTATGTTCTTCGCTTGGGACTTGGAATGACGGTAGCTTTCTCAAGTGATTGAGTGCGCGTGTGTCTCTTGATGTTGCTCTTCGAAGACCTGGTGTCTTCGTTGTCATCGTCGCTCGAGTCCATGTCGTCGTCAGTTTTACCTTCTTCTTTTTCTTCGTCCTCATCATGATCATCAAACTCAACGACACTTGACTCATCGTTGTAGTTGCGCGGACCTTCATCAAACTTGTCTTCCATGAATGTGGCATCGCGACTGATCTTGATCGCTCCTGTTGACACTTCCTCAAATCGATATGACTTCTGGTGTTCGGCGTATCCCAGGAAACGACAGAGTGATGACTTGGAGTCGAACTTCGCGCGTTTGTCTTGAGGCACTTGAACATACGCGTGGCATCCAAACACTTTAAGGTTGGCCAGAATCGGTTTCTTCATCGTCCACACTTGATATGGAGACTTGTCTTGGTGAATGGCACGTGTTGGACAGCGGTTTCGAAGAAACATCGCCGTCATCACTGCTTCACCCCAGTAGCTCTTTCCCAGTCCAGCGTGTTCCATCATGCAACGCGCACACTCGACCAGCGTGCGATTCATTCTCTCAGCTACTCCGTTTAGCTGAGGAGTATATGGGGGTGTGAACCTTTGTTGTATTCCCCGTTCCGCGCAGAATCGTGCCAGCTTGTCGGACTTGTATTCACCCCCATTGTCGCTTTGAAGGTACTTCACGCGCTTTCCTGTTGAAAAGACAGCGGCTGTGAAGAAGACACCTCGTCAAGCTGCGTCAAGTGTTGAAGCAAGTGGAAGACCAAGCTTCGCTATACCGGTGGGTACCGGTATGTACCAGTAAGGGCGAAGTCAGGAAATGACTTCATTGCATGACGTCAGTGGGTGACGTCAGTGGGTGACGTCACTGGATGACGTCACTGCGAATAATAGGCTTAGAGGTAGTATTCAAAGTTGCGAACTAAGTACCTATTATAAATATATATTCACTTTGCGTTTTGCACTCGGACCAAGAAGTCTAAAGTTCATCAGGTTATGAGCCCAAGTTCGTCAGACTCTGAAACCGCCAACAATTCAAGCTTAGCTGCCATGGACGCCTCCTCCCTCCGCATCTCCAAGTTCGATGGAACTAACTTCCACGCCTGGAAGTTCAAGATGCAGATGGTGCTGGAGGAACGGGACCTATGGGAGGTCGTCAGCGGTGAGATCAAGGCGGAACAGTGCGAGACTCAGTTGGACCAAGCGACGTACAAGAGGAAGTCAAGAAAGGCAATGGCAGTGATCTGTCTAGCCATGGAAGATTCCCAGCTACCGTTGGTCCGGTCGGCAAGTGGTGCATGCGACGCATGGTCAAGGTTGGAAGACCACTTCGAGAAGAAGAGTCTTGCCAACAAGCTGTTCTTGCGCCGTCGCTTCTTCACGACAATGATGGAAGAAGGCGACGATGTGCTCGAACACATCAACAAGCTCAAGACGCTGGCGGAACAGCTAGAAGCGGTGGGGGCTCCAGTCTGCGAGGACGATCTGGTGATCACACTCCTCGGCAGCCTGAGTGACTCGTATCAATTCTTGATCACAGCTTTGGAGTCGCGCTCAGACACTCTTAGCTGGGAGCTCGTGACGTCTCGACTGCTTCATGAAGAAATGAAGCGGAAGGAGCAAGGAAGTAAAGGTGATGAAGCTTCGCAAGGTCAAGCGTTCATCACAAGGGACAATCAGCGCAAAGGGCGACCAGTGAAGAAGTCCTGGCCGTGCCACAATTGCGGAAAGATTGGTCACTGGATGGCGGAGTGTCCCTCGCGCATCCAAGAAAACACGGAGAGACACCGGCCACAGCGTGCTCAAGACAGCGGCGACCGCTATCGATCACAACGTGCAAACGTCGCTCAAGAAGAAGACTCGGGCGACTACCTCTTTTCGATCGGTGAAACGACATCTGCGAAATCGAGCGACATCTGGCTGGTCGACTCCGGGGCGACGCAGCACATGACGCGCTCCAAGAAGTTCATGCGGAACTACAAGGGGTTTGACGCTGTGGATGTCCATCTCGCGGATGATGGAATCGTCCAAGCAATCGGCAGTGGGGACATTGTCATGTCGATGAAGACACCCCAAGGGATGAAGAAAGGTGTGCTCACAAACGTGTGGCACATCCCAAAGTTATCCAGAAACCTGTTCTCGGTCGGCCGCTTCACCAAGGATGTCGGCCCAGTGACGTTCACGAAGGATGGGTGCTATGGAGAAGCGAAAGGGACCAAGTGGAAAATTGGTGCCCGTGAAGGTAAAGAACTGTTCAAGCTGCAAATGACTCCAGTGGCGCCGGAACAAGCAAATGCAGCCAAGTCGTCGGGATGTCAAGGGGACACCACTTCGTACCTCTGGCACCTTCGACTTGGCCACATAGGTCATGATGGACTCAATTGCATCGTGACGAAGAACATTGGAATTGGCATCGACATATCTTCGGTGAAGAAGTGGGACGTGTGTGAAGGTTGTGCTCTGGGAAAACAGACTCGAGTGCGCTTCCAATCAAACACTACAGCTCGCACCTCCAAACTCCTCGAAGTGATTCACAGCGATGTATGCGGCCCGATGTCGATGGCAACTTTCAGTGGAAAACGCTACTTTGTCACGTTTATCGATGACAAGTCAAGATACTGTGTCGTCTATCTGCTCAAGAGCAAATCTGAAGTTGCGGCGAAGTTCATGGAATACGCTGCGATGGCCGAAACGCAAACCGGAAAGCGCGTGAAGTACCTTCAAAGCGACAATGGGGGTGAATACAAGTCCGACAAGCTGGCACGATTCTGCGCGGAACGGGGGAATACAACAAAGGTTCACACCCCCATATACTCCTCAGCTAAACGGAGTAGCTGAGAGAATGAATCGCACGCTGGTCGAGTGTACGCGTTGCATGATGAGCGGAGGATGCATCAGCTGGAAAAGCCAGAAACAACGGACGGTCGCGCTATCTTCAACAGAAGCAGAATACATGGCGCTTTCCGAAGCAACCAAAGAAGCAGTATGGCTCAAAGTGCTTTTGGGGGAACTTGGTGAGATGACAAGCGACGAAGCGATCAAGATGTATGAAGACAACCAAGGATCAATCGCTCTCGCCAAGAACCCGGAGTTCCATAAGAGAACAAAACACATCGACATACGCTACCATTTTGTGCGTGAGAAGGTGGAATCAGGTGAAGTCGTTTTGGAGTATTGCCCGACTCAAGATATGCTGGCAGACATGATGACCAAGCCGATCGCCGCTGTACAATTTGAAAACATTCGCGATCGACTTGGGATCCAAGGTGCCGCAGCTAACGAGTCGAGAGGGAGTGTTGAAAAGACAGCGGCTGTGAAGAAGACACCTCGTCAAGCTGCGTCAAGTGTTGAAGCAAGTGGAAGACCAAGCTTCGCTATACCGGTGGGTACCGGTATGTACCAGTAAGGGGCGAAGTCAGGAAATGACGTCACTAGATGACGTCATTCAATGACGTCAGTGGGTGACGTCAGTGGGTGACGTCACTGGATGACGTCACTGCGAATAATAGGCTTAGAGGTAGTATTCAAAGTTGCGAACTAAGTACCTATTATAAATATATATTCACTTTGCGTTTTGCACTCGGACCAAGAAGTCTAAAGTTCATCACGGCCATCGCAGCGTATTCCATGAACTTCGCCGCAACTTCAGATTTGCTCTTGAGCAGATAGACGACACAGTATCTTGACTTGTCATCAATGAATGTCACGAAGTACCGTTTTCCACTGAAAGTTGCCATCGACATCGGTCCGCATACGTCGCTGTGAATCACTTCGAGGAGTTTGGAGGTGCGAGCTGTAGTGTTTGATTGGAAGCGCACTCGAGTCTGTTTTCCCAGAGCACAACCTTCACACACGTCCCACTTCTTCACCGAAGATATGTCGATGCCAATTCCAATGTTCTTCGTCACGATGCAATTGAGTCCATCGTGACCTATGTGGCCAAGCCGAAGGTGCCAGAGGTACGACTTGGTGCCCCCTTGACATCCCGACGACTTGGCTGCATTTGCTTGTTCCGGCGCCACTGGAGTCATTCGCAGCTTGAACAGTCCTTTACCTTCACGGGCACCAATTTTCCACTTGGTCCCTTTCGCTTCTCCATAGCACCCATCCTTCGTGAACGTCACTGGGCCGACATCCTTGGTGAAGCGGCCGACCGAGAACAGGTTTCTGGATAACT